GTAAAGAAGAGTGGGCCAAAATTCCTCCACAACGATGTGAAAGACTGATAAAGTCATACAGGAAATGATTGCTTCAAGTTATTGCTGCTAAAGGTGGTTCTACAAGCTATTGAATCATAAGGTGTACTTAGTTTTTCATACATGGCTTCTCCATTTTGGCTTTCTTTTTGCAAAATAAATGATGACGTGGTGAAATATGTCATGTGTTGTTCATCTGAGGTTGTATATACCTACTTTTGAGAACTGCTAAGGACCAGATGATTTTTATTATGTCCTGATACGTAAAACCATAGAGCTCAAAGAGGGTGTAAAATGATTGCTTCAAGTTATTGCTGCTAAAGGTGGTTCTACAAGCTATTGAATCATAAGGTGTACTTAGTTTTTCATACATGGCTTCTCCATTTTGGCTTTCTTTTTGTAAAATAAATGATGATGTGGTATAATATGTTGTGTTGTTGTATTTACCTACTTTTGAGAACTGCTAAGGACCAGATGATTTTTATTATGTCCTGATACGTAAAACCATAGAGCTCAAAGAGGGTGTACTTTCTTTTTCACACGACTGTATATTGTAAGAGTAGTTTTGTTCAGTGGTTTTGTTTTTTCTTGCTCTCTTTTTGCATATAATAAAAACATGGAAAAAAGATGATTGATAGAAATTTCTTTACTGGGTAGCCAGGAATTGGACACAAGAAAACAGTGCCGTGGAGGGGATTGTCTGCTTGCTGCCTTGTGAAGAAAAGAGAAGCCACAAAGAATCAGTGTATAGACACAATAGGAAGAAAACTGGGTTGAAATCAGGAGGAGTCTGGTAGCACTTTTGCCATCAAACACATTTGATTAAAAGGCATAAACTTTTGTGAGTTACAACTCACTTCAACAGAGGCATGAAGTGGCTAAAGGATATAGGATTTAAATCTGGGTGAGGGGGGGAGTTGGGGTGGGGGGAGGGATTCCGCCAAAGGTCATCAACAAAGCCTGAAATCTGATTGAAAGAGGCAATCAGTTTCCTTCACCATTGTCTCAGCAACCTTCCCTTAAAAAGAAAAGATTGGAGACCGAACTAAAATTATCCAATACAATCAATCTAAAAAGGCAAGTGATGAAAGAATTGCAAAAAGCTAAAGAACAATTAAATGGAAGAACTACAAAAGAAGATGAAGTTTACTAAATGAAAACATTCTGAGAACATGAACAGACCAGGGAAATTTTTGGCATACCAGATTAGAATAGAGAAAGACAGATAATACCAACAATACAGGTAGTCCTCGTTTAGCAACCACAATTGGGACTGGCAACTTGGTCATTAAGCAAAGTGGTTGCTAAGTGAAAAACCTCGTGACTGCAACTGTGCTTAGGGTTTTATTTCAGCTTTCCTTTGCTTTACCATGTCAGAAGGATACAATCCTAACAGCCAGGTGAGCCCAAACAGCGGGGAAGGGTTTTGAAACTCAAACTTATGAGGAAGCTGGGTGAAAGGAAGAATCTTATAGCCCTTTTTCCCCACTCCCCTGCCCTTTGTAACACTCGCCCCGGTGCTGGGATAATTAACAAGAAGGGAATTGATATTTGTATTTACATTCGTTGGAGAGGCAGGGATGACAAGCGAGTAAGCAGGCATCCAATGGGGAATACACATCAAAAGGAATGTGCTAGCAGCAGATGTGCCTGGCCAGCTGGTTAGGAGGCAAACAAAGGCCTTTAGTGTGAAACCGATTAGGGTCTTGTGGTGTCAGGCAGTAGTGAGAGGGGCAGGTAGGTTCTAATCAACTAATTCAGGTCACAGAGGTGAGCTTATTAACTTGCAGTTAGCACTTTTTAGGGAAGTGCTTCTAGGGAAGCGCTGTGGTGCAGAGAAAAACAGCTCCAGAAGAGAGAGCTTGTTTAGGCAATCGCTCTGCTCTGGGGAGCGGAATTTAAAAAATGGGTCAGGCATAGGACAACTGGTACTGATTGTAGTGGTGAACACCTGCCTGAGAAAGAGATACACTGCAAAGGTAATCCAGGCATTGGTCGCAAAGTTACTTTTTCATCACCACTGTAACTGGTTGCTATCCAAGGCAGTCGCTAAACGAGGACTAACTAAATAAATTGCTATTCATGAGTTTGGAAATTACAGAAGAGCTTGCAGAATTCTTTGGGAAAATTAAATGCTAAGGCTCATATTGATGAAACATGCCTGAAAATAAATAGATCTAGATCTAGATCAATATAAATATTTATTTTATATAGCTGCCCATCTCATATATGTAACTCTGGGTGGCTTACAAAATTAAAACATAAT